CTGTGTGTGTGTGTGTGTGTGTGTGTGTGTGTGTGTGTGTGTGTGTGTGTGTGTGTGTGTGTGTGTGTGTGTGTGGAGCCTCCCTAGCTTTGGTCCCTACCTCCAGCAGAGAACAGACGTCATCGCAGACTACAAGAAGAAGATCAGAAACACAGGACCTGAAGTGATAGAAACAGACATCAGACAGGTCAACTCGTCCAAAAAACCTGTCCCTGCTGTCAAGGTGTGACACACACATGCGCACGCACGCACGCACGCACACACACACACACACACACACACACACACACACACACACACACACACACACACACACACACACACACACACACACACACACACCCTCTCTCTCTCGCTTTCTCACACACACACACACACACACACACACACACACACACACACACACACTCGCTATTCATTATTGTGCTTTGTTGTGTAATAAAAGTCTTCTAACCGATTACATTTCTGTGTTTTTTGCATACTGTGTGTGTTGTAGGATGTGATAGCCAGGGCGGTGCGTCACATTGGAACATATCAGGATCTTAGCAACATGGAGCAGGTAACAGGATTTTTCCTCACATAATCTAACACAGCCTAAAGTCCACGGCAAGCGTTATGGTCATGTTTTCATGGACGTTTATACAGTCAGACTTATTTCTACTACCAGAGCAGTCACCCAAAGCTAAATCCGGGACCAAAGGTTTTGATCATTCGAAAATGAGTTTTGATCCTGAACTTTGAAAAATACAATGATGCATTAAAACTCTAAATAGTATTTGAAAAGCTTTTTCAGGCTGAATATTATTTCACATTTATTGATTTTTTTATATTTGTGTCATTCTTTTTTTCACATGAATATTTTTATGCTTTCAAACTCATTTTTTTCCGGTTTCGATTTTTATTTTTCTCATTCAGATTTTTTCACTTTCAAATCGTATTTTGTCGCCACCAGGTTTAAGGCATGCAAATTGCAGCTTGGATATTTACATTGTGTTGACACAAAGAGTAAAAAAAACTGATGTTGTTTCATATACAATAAAAGGTCACAGATAATGACTTTGAAATAATTGATCATGAAAAGCTCATAATTGTGTCCCCCGACTGTGTCCTCAGGTCCAGGCTGTGATAGATGAGGAGATGTGCATCAACTGTGGGAAGTGCTACATGACCTGCAACGACTCTGGTTACCAGGTATGTCACTCTGCCCCAGTCTCTTTACTTTTAGGAAGACTCGGTGGGGTAAAGTACATTTACTCAAGTACTGTAAGTAAGTCAAACATTGAGGTACTTTTTATTTTCACATTATGCTACTTGTTGAACTTTTTACTCCACTATTATCCTACATTATTATAGGCTGAGCTATCCAGTAGTATGTAAAGTAATTCAATTAAACCCTACCTTCACCAGGTACAAAACTGAGGTGATGAACACATGAATGCACCAATCATTTTGATAAAATAATTTTAAATTAACTGGTGTTTAAATGTACCTTTCTACATAACATATTACTTTTGGTACTTAAAGTATATTTTGATGCTAATACTTTTTACTCTTACTTAAGTATCATTTTGAATGCTGGACTTTTACTTAGCATAGTATTTTCACACTGTGATATTGCTTCTTTTAGTTAAAATGGACCCATCATGCTATATTTGACAAATATATTGTAGGGCCATACCTATATAAAACATGTCTGTGAAGTCTTTTTTTCAAAATACCAAACAGATCATGCATTTTAGGCCCCGGCCCCACGAGGACGCATACGGTAAAACGCATACGGTAAAACGCATACGGTAAAACGCATACGCAAACGCAATCGCAAAAAAGGCTTCCGTCCACACGCAATAGACACCGGAAAGTATCCGGAAAGACACAGGCGCAGTATCCGATCCGCCATTGTTGTTGGCGAAACACATCAGCAATGACGCGAGGTACGCGGAGGTGAGCAGGAGAGGTGGGGAGAGGCGGGGCTATTATCATCATTATCAGAAAATGATCGTATAGGGTGTAATAACGGAGCCGTTGGAACCCGCAGAGCGTTGCGTATGCCGTTCTATCCACCTCGGGACCCGTTATCGTTACCGTAGTCGTTTACTGCCATATTCTGGCGTCCTAGTGTGACCGAATGGTCTATATGACACAAAACTGTAACGGAAACTACCGTATGCGTCCTCGTGGGGCCGGGGCCTTAACCATGCCTCATTTCGCTCTATTTGCTCTTTTTCA